GTTTTTTGTTTTACACAAAATCGTCCTCCGGAAGACGATTAAATAAACTTAAATCAAAATAATTAAAGCGACATCCGGAGGTCGGTTTGTTTAAATTTTCATTTTACACCTATAATTAATTGTTTAAAAAATTGTATACTTTTATAAATAGAAAGTTAGATCAATAATCCATATTTAGAGTATAAAATTACGTTGATATGAAAACCGACAACAAGTAGTTGGTTTTTATGAAATTTCGTTGATACGGAAGTCGGTATTATAATTTTTTTTGTTTTTTATTTTACACAAAACCTAAAATATTTCTCAATTTTGTTTTTTATATTTAATTGAGAAAAAATAAAATATTGTTATTTATTTATTTGTTTAATACCGACATCAAGAGGTCGGTTTTTATTGTAATACATTTTTTTTGGGAAAAATTCCGACCTCCAGAGGTCGGAATTTGGTTATTTTGCATAAAAACCGACTTCTTGTAAATACCGACCTCCGGAGGTTGGAAATTACCGACCTACATTTGAGGTCGGAAATGTTTAGGTCGGTATTCACTGTTTTTTAGTAGTGTTGACTAATGCTGAGGAAGTTATGCTTGAGTCCCCTCAACCAGATACACTTTGACTAGGTCACATGACGAACTAAGTGTAATGGTTCCAACTCCGGTTACTTCCCCTTCAGCATTGTCTCCAGATCTGACACATCCTCAATCTATTCCTTTTATAGTTTTGAAGTTTTCTTTCTTTCCGCACATATGTCTGGAGCATCCACTGTCAAGTACCAACATTCTTTTTTTGTAGGTTTTCTTGGATTGCTCCTGCAAAACAGTAAGATTAGTTTCTTTTAGGTACCCAAGTATTTTTGGGTCCTTGATGATTAGTAAATTTCGGTCTCCAAATCCATTTTCCAGAAGAATATTTTCTACAGTTGAAAGATTTGTGACCAAAATCACCGCAAGTGAAACAAATAATTTTAGTAGAATTTTCAGGAGAATAGAGATTAGAATTAGATCTATTTGATCTGTTAGAACTATGATTAGAAGAGTTTCTTCTATGAAGCATAGTTCTGTTAGATCGGACAAAACTATGACTTGGAGATTTTCTGATGATGTTCAACTGCATTATGACTTCCTCTAGTTCTTCTGTTAGTAAGTCGACTTCAATCTGATTTTCTTCGAGAAGAATCTGCCAATCTTTTTTTTCTTGAGCAATTTTAATGTATTCGTCAATAACCTTCTGTAGTTCATCATCAACCACGTCCAAGTAATTTTGTAAGTCATTACAGTTAAGACAGTTAAAAGATCTTACCTCACTTGTTTCACCTAGTGCCATGAAACATAGATTTGCCATTTCATCATGGTCATCGTCAGTTGTTTCACCTTGATCCCATGCTTCAAGACTCTTAGGATCTTCATTTCTTCGATTGTTTCTTTTTCTCCGTTCTGGGCAATTTTGTTTGATGTGTCCTGGTTTTCCGCAGTAATAATATCGATCATCATTCCTTTTGAAGTCATTGTTATTGAAGTCCTGTTGAGGTTTCTGTCTTCTATGTCTAAGCATTTGTCGTACTCCTCGATTAATAAAAGACATTCATTCATCTTGATCTTCATCAAGTTCTTCTACAATTTCAGATGTTTCAGCTGTAAATGCCACAGTCTTCTTTTTATCATCCTTGTTGTACTTGTTAATATGATTTTGTTCATAGGCCATTAGGTTGCCTTGAAGTTCATCGTATGTCATTTTCTGCAGATCTCCATCTTCAAGAATGGCAGCTTTAATTTCCCAAGCCTTGGGAAGACTTCTAACGAGTTCCCTGGCTTGTAGTGCATTTGAATACACCATTACAAGAGATTTGAGTTCGCTAACAGTTTTACTGAATCTCGAGAACATAGATTCAACGTTCTCATCTTCGGCCATTTTGAACAACTCATATTCATTTACAAGTGAACTGATCTGAACTTCATTTACTTTAGTGGTTTCTTCATACGTCACTTCTAGTTTGTCCCACATTTCTTTCGCAGTTTCACATGTTGATATTTGTCATATTCGGCTCCACTCATTGCACAATATAACAAACTTATAGCTCTAGCATTAGTTTGAATTACCTCTTGTTGTTCCTTAGTGATGTCAAATGATTCAGGATCAAATGGCTTTTCAGTGCCATCTTTTGTTTTAGTCAATCCAGGAATAGGCTTTGGGCCCTTCTTGATTACTATCCATGCTTGATGATCATTTGAAGAGACAAAGATTCTGGATCTGTCTTTCCAGTGAGAGTAATGTTGTCTATTGAAGTATGGTGGTCGGTGTGAAGAATGTCCATCTTGAAGTAAAGCTCCAGGGATCTGATAGTATGCCATTTGGATCTTTGCTCACGTGTGGTTAAACACTGAAATAGTGAGACCTGCTCTGATACCAATTGAAAGTTAAGAGGGGGGTGAATTAAAATTCCTTTAGTCGACTTTCTGTAATAGGCAGTCGACTCACCTGCACGTTAGTAGAATAGATAAACAGTGATAATAGTTTGAAGTAAGTAAATAACACAAAGAGTTTTTATACTGGTTCAGATCATCGATTTGGTGCCTAGTGCAGTCCCCTTGGGTTACAAGGGTTTCCTTAAGAACTTTGAAGTGAGTTTGGTAGTACAACGTTTCTGCGACTTGATCATGTCTGATATACAAATC